ATGACAAGTTTTTGATAAAGCTATGTTGCATCACTGGCAACATTAGTATTCACTAAATATTTCTTTAATGGTATATTCTAGAATTGTGTTGGGAATGGAAGACAAACTCACTGACACACAATCTGTAAAGTTTTCTATACTCTTATTTCTTCCTTCCATTTTTCTTGTGATTAGAGAGAGGAAAATGGAAATAATTCTAAAATGCAACCTTACTTTCCCACTTTGGTGGTTGTTTGATTTCATTCATATGGGCATTCACTCCAATGATGCAGATAGTAACCCATCTATGTTCCCCCACTTCTATGACTCTTGTCATCCCTTCTCATAAATACTCCACAAGGATGTCTAACCAATATTCTTATGGGTTTGCTTTGGATATCTTGATACTATGGACATTTCAGTAAAGCACCCTTTCTATAAATCTAACAAGACATGATTCATGAGTGGTCCACCTTTTAGTTTTATCATTCATGTCCTTGATGATATTCTTGATGCTTTTTCTCTTACACAATTATTCACTGATAATCTTTCATAGTTCACTCACACCTATTATGCACCTCTCCATTGATGTTTTGGTTAATGGAAACTTTTGCCATATATATTTGCCATATACTCTGATTTTAGTCACTTGACAGTGATACTATTTTCATTACTTTGAAGACATAGCACAGACTCAGAGACTAATTACTCCAAAATATTCTCACAAGGCTGTTAAAAGTAAAATATCTTCATAACCTTTGGAAAAAATAAAGGTGACAATGAGGTATTAAAATCCCACTGAAATATTCTGAGGGGAAATAGCAATGCATAATTTATTACAAAAAATGTTACAAAAGCAGATTAAACAAGCATTACATTGTTCTGCCAAGAAGACAGTAAGCTTTTTCATAGACCTTCAGGAAACATATGTCTAGTCTTACCATAGCTTTTTGCAGGGATTTAATGTTTCTTGAAACATCACAAAAATAGTTGTCCTAGGATGTAAAAGTCATAAAATCCTGATGCCATAGACAGAAAGTCTTGTAGATAGGTCAGGAGATTGATTGATGATATTTTTAAATGACAAAATATAATATTGGTAGAGATTAGAATAAAACCTATTTATTTATTTATTTCTATATTTATTTATTTTATTATTATTAAGCATCTACTATTTCTTATTAGTAATTATTAATTATTTATTAATTAATGATAAAATTATTAATAATAATTTATTATAGTATTTATTTATACTGTTGATCAAAATGTGAATATATGAATTTTTAAATTAAACCCACATATATTTTATATATGTATAACTATTAATAACATTCAAAACTATGATGTTTCCCATAACTGTGTAGTAAAATTGTTATAAGAAAAAATAATGTAGCTACATGAACCAGATTTAAAAGAGCCTTATTTGTAATGGCAAAAATGAGGACAAATCCCATGTTTCCAGTGACTGGGGGATGAATAATCAAATTGGGACATGTTAATATATTGACCTCTTCTTACCCCATTAAGATAAAAATTAGGAAGAATACAAAGGAACATGGGAATACAGAGGACAGTATGAAATATTAATAAAGTAGAAACTAAATGCATTTCTCCCTCCCTCCCTCTCTCTCTCTCTCTCTCTCTTTCTCCACATAGAGGTAGATATACATATAAAGACAGTGATAGATATCTATTAGATATCTCTCTCTTCATATATAGTAGATATAGATACAGATATTTCTCTTTCTTTCCAAGTAAATATTTTAATCATTTTATACAAAATGAATACTACAAAAATGAAAATACAATGTACAAATACTAACTGTAAAAAGTTAACAGTTGGGGTGGGAAAAGGATGTGGCAAAGATGATTGAAACTTTGGCCCTCATGATCACATAATCTAATCACATATTTGTTTATTAACTTTCCTCAGTTGAAGGAATCCAGGCAGGGTCAGAATACTACACTTTACATTGCTAGGTTTCTGGTTTCTGTTCTAAACAGACATTTACCTCTACCCAGATGAGTACAGGATAGACAATTCTAGAAGCAATAATGCTAGTCTTTTCTACTCACTTATAACTGCTATTAAGCAAAGGATAGCAGAAACAACCACAGATGATAAATGAAAAACCAGGTGTGGAAGAAACCATATCGAGAGAGGGAGTTCAACTAATACCTAAACATACATATGTATGTACATGTATATACACATATATGTGTGTGTGTGTGTGTGTGTGTGTGTGTGTGCAGCCAAAACTTTCAGAAAAATACTAAGAAAAATAATTTATAAAGGATCTTGGGGGAAATATGACATTTCCCCCTTTCTTGAGAGCATTAATATGTCTCACCCACTTTTCTTTTAAACAAAGTATATGCAATGTCAATTTTGTTTTTATAAATGTTCATTTAAATTCTCGTTAGTGCATTTGAATACTTATTTTTGAAGTTTATTTCTTTTAGAAAAGCTCTTTTCAAAGATCTAAGCATTCATCAAAAGTATCTTCTGTCAAAAACACAAAAAGAAAAAAAAATGCTTACCCAAATGATTTTCTATGGCACACCACATCCTTAAATACTACATATCTCATTTAAAGGTGTAGACACTATAGAATCCTGTTTTCTATTTATTTCAGCATTGGACTTGCTAAAATAAAATTCAATTTCAAAGGCTTTCCTCAAAAAAAGGTGTCGGACACATTAAAATTGAATGTTTTTCTATGATGGTTGCAAATATGGAAACAACTTAATTCAATGTTTTGCTGAGTATTGTTTTAAATGAATGTAACCTGAGGTCAAAAGAACATTAGTATGGACCTCTTTCTTATTGGTAGAGATCAGTGCCCAGTTCCTGCATAAAGTGGAGTTGGAAGAGAGAAGATTTGGTCTCTTGAATTTCTTTGAGTCTCTTCTGTCTCTTCAGGCTTTTCTAGCTTACAGTTTCAAGGGAGAAGGTGAGATGAACAATTCCATTCCCATTTCAGGTTGCTGAGGAGAGAGAAGATTCTAGGAAGAAGCTGACGTGTGAGGAACTGACGGTTTTCCTCATGTTCATTTCTAAGAATGCTATGAAAGACATTTTGGGAAATTTCCCTTTGGGTGATATTTAGTACTCTCTGTTGGTTGAGCTGAATTAGTTTTCTCCCTTGATAGGAGAGCACTTTGTATTGTCTGGCATTAATTCTCATATGTATACATTCCCCTATTTTTATTTTTGTTGATTTATTTGCTTTTTGCTATGTTTGTTCATCACGGAGCTGGTATTTGGTGGGAAGTGAGTCAAGCCTTGGCTAAAAAACTCAGGGTCTTCCTTTCCCCATTAATGAATAGCAATCAAGGGTTAGGTTGAACCTGAAAACTACATCCCATAGATTAATAATATTGAATGGAGCAGATAGATATAATTGTAGTTTGGTACCTCTTCTCTCTGAGGAGAATAAAATGGTAAGTTTCTATCCTCCACCACCTGCTTCTCCTTCTGGAAGAATTAAAGTCCTTCTTGGAGAAAATTTTGGGGAGGCAAAGCTAAAGATACCTACTATTCCATACCTATGATCCATACATAATTCCCCATGCTACTTGTGGGAGACAGCTTTGCTACATGAACATTAGAAATAATGTTAGTCTCTGTCATAGAATAAGTCCTGATAAACAAAAGAACTGGAAGTGGCGAATGTCTCTAAATCACTTAGTGATATCATTGCAATAACTCCAGAAATTGTTAAATCACTAAGAAAACCTCTCCAACAAAATGAGTGAACTTTGGCAAATAACTTGTTTCTTGTTTCTGTCTCTTTCTTTCCTGATTGATTGCTTTCATGGGAATAGAAACTCTCCATTTCTTTTGGATGTGTTTAAGACTGAAAGCTCTTCACTAGATATTAAATAGAATTTTCCCTTATGGTGGCTCAGTAGAAGTCTAAGTTCAGAACCTTCACAGTCATGTCTACTATTCTGTAACTGAGATTCTGATTTTTTTAGCCTTTTTTTTTTGTTATTTGCCTCTCCTTAGCTCTTCTGGAAAGTGAGAAATCATTGTGTTTCTGTCCAAGCAGGTTGCATTATGTTTATGACAAATATGTATTTCTTATAATCCATTGTATTTCCTTTTTACAGAAATAGTTGAATATCTTACATGTTTTAAGGGTATTGTTAAAGTTTAATTGTTATTACTTAAAATCATTATTGGTATTTTTATGTGACATTAAATCATTAATTTGTCTGCTGGTTGAGAGGTGTCAAACACAACTTCTGAGCTACATTCTTGGGCAAAAAGAGGTCAGGACCAGAACCACATTAAAATTTAATAAGTAATAAATTTAATAATAAAAATGCAACATGACATATATAATGTTAATTTGTGGTTTTCTAATTCAACATGTGCCATGTTCATTTCTATTTAATTCTACTTCAATTTATTCTAAAATTGGTATGTTTAAATGACATAGAGTCTTTATTATGATACCTTCATAGCTTTGTCAGTATTCTAAGCCTGATGGCAAACCACTCAGTAGTCACAGTAGCCCACAGATTTGAGTTACAATAGACATATGATGGATTGGAGGGGGTGTTGGTATTCATAGCATCTTAGTCCTAGTAACTGCTATGTGAAAGGCACAGTAAAAGGTGCTTGTAACAAAAGAGATTTTCTAAATGAGCTTTCAATTTTTGGTAAGTTGAATTTCTATCCATGGCATCTAATTCTCATTCAGACTATTAAAAAAAAAACAACAAAGCATATTTAATACCTTTTCCACAAAAGAACAGCTATTAAAGAACACCAAAAGAGGAAATGTTTGCAATTAAAACCCATTGCTTAATCATCTAATAGTAGATATCTATGCGAAGATATTATAGACATGAGATTATTCATATAAAAACTGTTTCTTTAAAACCATTTAAATTTTTCTTAATTTGGACTTTGGGAAACATTATGACATGCCTTCACATAATGTGAACTTTTGACATATTAGTATAAATAGATGAATGGCTAAAAAACTATTTTATTTCATATTCAATAGGTAAAAATTGTGCAGAAATAATTGGACAGTGTCAACCACATCTCTGTCTCCATGGGAACTGCAGAAATGTGACATCAAATACATTCATTTGTGAATGTGATGAACAGTTTACAGGTAAAACAAATGCATTTTATTTTTAACAGTGTTTTTGGCATTTCAATCTCTGTCCTTTATTTTAAAATGTTTTCTGTACCATTGAATCATGGTATTTTAGTGCTAAAAGAAAATTTACCACTTTATTCAACCTTGGTTTAATCCCTTGGGTTAACATAATTGAACACCTATTCAAAAAAATTAGATAATTCAGAAATGAGTTAGGTTGTTATTTTAAAGCTATTTTTCCATAAAGTTGAAACTTTATTGTGAGTTAAATAAGGAAATACTGTACAAATTATTTTTAAAAAATCTTGTAAGCTATGCACAAAATCCTCATCTAATGTATTATTTGATGACAATTCCATTCTGTTACTCCTATTAGCCAAGATAATTTTTTTCACTTTACACACACACACACACACACACACACACACACACACACACACAATATTACCTTAGCTTATTCTAAATTATTACCACTACTATCTACCTCGCCTGGAAAAAAAAAAAGAAAACAATCGCTTATATTTAAGAAAACATATGGCTGATGCTTGTTAGAGCACTGATTCCCATTCATTGCTTGGCAACGTCTCTGGATGTCTCCCATTAAGTAATTTTTCTCTAAAGTACAGTTCTACTTCATCCTGTCCAAACACCTAATAAACTCCAGGCTCCCTATTGCCTCAAGGATAAATTATAAAAACCTCTCTTTGGCATTTACAGATCTTCTCAACAGGTCTCCTTCCTACCTTTCCAGTCTTCTTCCTTATGGTAACATAAAATTCCCTACCCTCACTTTGTGGTACAAGCACACTGGCCTACTACGGCTTCACAGACACACTATTCTCTCTTCTCTAATCTTTTATACAAATTTTCCCATTATCTAATATACTTTTTCTTTATCTCTTCCCCTTGGAAATTCTGGATTTCTTCAAGATTTGGCTCAAATTCCCCATCCCAGGTGCTATCACCCATAGCTACCAAGTACGCAGCATTTATTTTTAATACTTAATGTATATACTTATATTTGCCCATGTTGTCTCCAAAACTAGGCTGTAAGGTCCTTTACATTAGGGGTTGTTTCACTTTTATCCTTTCTTTCCCAGTACTTGTCACATAGTAACTGTTTAAATAAATGCATATTGTCTGATGGAGGAAAATAATACACACACAAATGCATATATACATTGGTACTCACTCAAACACACAGCTACAACAATAAAAATGGGAAAAAATGTCAAATAATTAAAAAGGAATACATATATTGTGTGATTTGCCAATAGTAGAGCCTGTTTCAGAATCAGAAGGTTGGTACCAGGATGAGCTAAGTAGAAATTTCAAATTTTATCCCTTACAGTGGAGTTTAAATGTGAACAATAACATTATATGACAGTACTCTAGGAGAAATTCTAGGTGAAAAATAAATCAAATAATGTGTTTTTACTTAAATCAGAGAATTAGTATGTGGTAAGGGAAAAAGAGACAGGACAACTTGGGTTCAAGTCTCTCCTTTGACATATTTTGATTGTGTGACCCAGTGACACTCTTACCTCTCAGTTTTCTAGAAAACTTTCTGAGACTACAAGTTGCAAAAAAGGTAGAAGGAGCTTCTCATCCCAAAACAGTAAAATAATAGGTCCAATCTCTATTGCCTATCCCTTTAAATAATTTCAGAATGTCTGTAATAAGGAATGTTTTTAACCAACAGGAAAAAAAATAGATCCCCCTTGACCTCAAGAGTTGCTACATACAATATCAGCAAATTAAACATGTTTCTACATCAGCAGGAATATTGTCATTCTTAATAACAGGAGAGGATAGTCCATTAGTTTTGAGACCACATAAAAATAATTATAACTGCACCACAACCTAAATCCAAGGAGGTTATCAGAAAAAGAAATGGGGGAGGGAGCATGATTTTTGATAGCCAACCACATTACAATGATTCTTGCAATACCAGAAACTTAAAAGGTATATATGTCCTTATAAATATAACAGGAACTTGAAGGAGTGTGACCTACAATTTAAGCTAGTAAGAAATAAGGATACATTTTCTTCACCAAGGATTAAATTAGACAGCAGGTATGACTGAATACACTAAGGCCATGTTAGACTATGTAGATTTAATTCACAAAGCTGAGTGAAAAAAGCATGGTAGAGAACCTCAATGTGACAATTAAAAAAGGGAGACATGGAGGTGACATCACAGAAGGATGAAGAAGAGAGTGCAGATAACAATGGTTTGATGGCTTTAAATGTGGGTGACAGAGTTTTATTGGGAATCATTAACAAAATGAGTCAGAAATACTAGTTAAGTGCCTTTAATATAAGTATGGTATTTAGAATGAGGAAGGTGAATCTATAGTAGGTGACATAATGGATAGATGCTGGACTCGGAAATTAGGAAGACCTGAGTTCAAATCCCCCCTCAGACATGTGTTAGATATGTCACCCTTACAAGTTACAACTTCTTGCAGCCTTAGTTTCCTTACATATAAAATAAACAAAATAATAGCATCTACCTTATAGGATTTTTTTTAGGATTACAAAATAAAGTACTTTGCAAACCTTAAAGTACTGTATACTTTGTTATTATTATTATTATTATTTAAATTGCACTGAGTCCTTTTCCTTAGAACACATTTAAAGAACACATTTTTGTCTAATTCTGGCACCAATTTTTAAAGTATCTTTGGCAAAAGAGAAGTCATTGGAAGGAGAAGAGGCAGTATATTAAGAAAACAAGAAACCACCATACAATGACCAATTGAAAGACCTAGAAATATTTAATCTTGGAGAAAGGAAAACAAGGAGAGGATTATGATAGCTGTCTTCAAGTGTTTTATTGATTACTATGTGGGAACGAAATTAGACTCATTCTACTTGGGGTTGGGGGAAGGAGTATGATGAAAATGTACAGGGATGCATATTATAGCTCCACATTTGTTTTGTTTTGTTTTGTTTTGTTTTGTTTTGTTTTGCTTTTTGTTAGGCAATGGGGTTAAGTGACTTGCTCAGGGTCATACAGCTAGTAAGTGTTATGTGTCTGAGGCTGGATTTGAACTCAGGTCCTCCTAAATCCAGGGCCAGTGCTCTATCCACTGCACCACCTCACTGCCCCAAAACAATTGTTTTTCTTTCTTTTTTTTTGGCTAGGCAATGGGGTTAAGTGAATGGCTCAACATTTGGAAAACATCTATGATGTAGACAAAAAATAAAACAGGATATATCAGAGTGATAGTGAATTCCGTATTACTTTAAGTCTTATATTGGATAATGTATGACCATCTGTCTGGGGAATTTGTAAATTGGCTAGAGGTCAGACTAGATGAATTTTGAGCTATGCATCAACTACAAAATTACATTATTTTATTGCTTTGAAATCTTCATTTTATTTACTTTTCAAATACAAAACAACAACAACAAACAAACAAACAATTGGAATTATATGTCCTGACAAACAAAAACAAAAATATTGGATTAATTTAGACAAACACAATGTTATGTGTTGCTATAGCATCTATGTAATAGTCTCAAGTCACAAAGCCTTAGTCTATTGAAAAGAATAGATGACTTTTTGATCTTATAACATTTTTCCTTTCCCCCTCAAATATTTAGTGCATTCTTATACTGTTTATAACAGGAAAGCACAATACATTTATGAAATAAATTATGAAATACTGTCATATTTTTTTTTGACATTCTGGTTCTTTTGGGAATGGGATCGGTTTGTTCAGTTAGTTAGAACACAGAAATGATGAAGGCAAAAGGCCATTTCTAGGGGCAGCTAGGTGGCAGAGTAGATGGACCACCGGCCCTGGAGTCAAGAGGACCTGAGTTCAAATCTGGCCTCAGACACATAACACTTACCAGCTGCGTGACCCTGGGCAGGTCACTCAACCCCATTGCCTAACAAAAAAAAAAGAAAACCAAAACAAGGGCAATTTTTCTGGGCCCTACATCCAGGCTACTGAGTAGGGAAAGGGGGAATGGAAGGAAATAAACATTTAAGTATCTCCTATGTGTCAGGCACTGTATTAAGCATTTTACAAGGTAAATAGTGTTAGAATCCCCACTTTACTGTTGAAGAAACTGAGGCAAACAGAGGTTAAGTCACATACCCAAGATCACACAGCTAGTGAGTATCTGAGGCTAAATTTGTACTTGTATCTTCTGGACCCCAGGATCCACTCTATCTAATGCTACCTAAGTGTTCATAATGTTGGTAATCAAAGTAAATCCATTTCCAGGACTCAGAAATTAATTCAAAATTCATTGTCATCCTATTCTGTGGTAGCTTCTGTGTATGAAAATCCAGTCTGTCCTTCAAGAACAAAGGAGAAACCACAACTTGTAAGTAGTCTGAGATGCCCCTAAATGGGGACCCAGCTGGTCAGTTCCAGTTGGGCAACTCAACTCGACCTCTTCTCTCCCCTAACCACAGGTTGTTTTGCCCAAAAGAAGGTAAATTTCGATAGCCAAAAGCTACCCAGTTACCTCTAGGTTTGCTGGCTATATTCTTTCTCAAACACCAAGCTTTAAACCCAATTCACTCTGGGGATCTCATGGATTGGACAATAATAGGTCCCTGCCCAAGCACCACTTAATGGTTATTTTTGGGCCTTCATGACTCAGCGTGAATGTAAATAGTAACTGTTTCTCTTTTGGCCACAACCCTGAAGGTCTTGTCTTCCCAGTTTGATTTTTTTTTTTTTTTTACTAAAGGGGCCATTCTTTGACTCACTTCTTAAAGAAGTCTCTTTATTGAAATTGCCTCACTGAAAGTGAGAACCTGAAAAGACCGTTTTGCTTAGCAAGGTCTCCCACTGCAACCTGGGTAATTTCCAGTGGTCTTGATGAATATCTGGCCACTGGACCCGGATATCTCTGGAGAAGGAAGTGAGGCTGGTGACTTTGCACAGCCCTCCCTCACTCAAATGAAAGTCAATTGCAAGTCATGTCATCATCTCTGATGTTGTGGTCCTCTTCGAGAAAGAAGAACAAAAAAAAAATACAAT